AGTGCAACAGTGAGTGGAGGAATTCAGTTCATGTATATTTATTTATACAGCACAATTAATTAATGCAGTTTTCATTAATGAATCATTTTGAATCATTGCCTGTATAGAATTTTTTGTGAGGTGAGTTAGCATTCCTCCTACTTCTACAACCACACTTACTATTTCTCTTTGTAGTTGCTTCTTCCTCTGCTCATCCCTAAATTGAAGTCTTTCCAAAGAGTTGTTTTCTAAATCTGCTCTCTCTGCAGCCTTTTTACGTGACTTCAGCAGCCCTTAGATTTGTGAATCCCACCTCTCTCCTGACTATTTTATATGCATATCTAACTGCCATGCCTCGGCTGTTCATAGACACCTCAATTCAATAGGTCCCTAACTGAATTCGTCATCCATAACCACCTAGCTGCCCCAGAAAACCCATTATTTTCTAGTGTTTCCTCTACCATCCTCCACTACTCGGATGAGAGACCTAGGGCCACTCACTGCTCCTCCTTCTCCCTTTTGCTCTCAGCCAGACTACAGGTCCTGTGAATCCTACCTCCTTAATATCACTTGAAACTATGGATTTGTCCCTTCTCTAGTTCTAGGGCCCAGTCCCTCAACTAGACTATTGTAATATTTTCCTAAATGGGATCTCTGTCTTTAGTATTCCTCTTGCTGTACTAACTCCCATCCCCTCATTCACATGGCTTGGGAAGTCTTCCAGGGTTCCTCAAACCTGCCATTAGGTACACTTTTATGTACTTTGTAGCCCCTCTCCTTCACCAAAATGGTCATCCCTCCATATGATTACTGCCTGCTTCTTTTTTCCTATTTCTCCTCTAGATGTTGACCCCTGTGAGCTTGTGGTCATGCTTACCATTCAATCCCCTCACCTAGTACAGCAAATGCTACACAGAAGGCACTCAATAAATACTTCTTATATATTGTTGATATTTCTAATATTCAAACTGTAAAGGTAGAAAGAAATTACAAAAACATATCCTACATGATGACAAAGTCTGGAATTAGAAGTCATGGATTAAATTCCTGGCTCTAACATTGCCTTATTGAATACTTTTGACAAAACACAAAGTTTTCTCACTATAATGTAATCATCTAACACCATCACTGAGTATACAATAAATAATAGCATCTTGAATTTATGACTTCTAAGTAGTTAGGAGCATGTCTTATGAAATATCTATTTGTTCAGCATTTCTTTGGGATAGGCTTTCCTCTTTGCTTCTACAAGGTAACGAAGGGGCATGAAACTCCTCCTAAAATGATGTTAAAACACTGGTCTGAGATTGTAACCTACTTTGAGGAATGTCAGGAAGATTCATGAAGTTGTCTGTGTAGGCCCTCAAGAGGAAAGTAGGTTGTGTAAGGTAGTTTTATACTCTCGTACATCCAATTTCTTAAGAATTCAAAATATTTGGGAGTGAAAATTGTACACATTATTTCAGCATTTCAGCTTATTCCTGGACTCTTTCTCCATGTTTTTCCGGAGACAAATTTTTTTTCCCACACCCAATTGAACCATCTGTGTACCAGGCAAGCTTTCCAAGATGTAAAACCAAGTGAAATATGTCCATTCCATTTATTTAGAAAGGACTATGACTAATGATACTGTGGAAAAAAAAATGGCATAGTTAATGAAAAAGTACACTCTGTGTGAACAGCCAGGGAAGCCTAACTGTTATGGCCACATAAAACCATTACTTACAGATAAGTATTCGGCACCAGTACTTTTCAAACTTATCCTCCAAAGACCTCCCGTGGGAAGGAGAGGGTCAGTTCAGTATCTACCTGTAATCTAGAGGTATCCCCTGTGGTATGAGGTTCTCTACCACCAGAAAATGGTAAAATTTTTAAAAATTTGTACAAATTTTGCATTCTACCCCGTAATATGACAATGTTTGATTTACATAAAAAATGTGAAATTATTTAATGTTTATCAAACTTGAATCTTAAGAAAGATGTGCCATATTTATTATTGTCTTTAAATAACCCTTATCTACCCCCCCACCCTCCCCCCGCCCAACACTGGCATGTACCCTTCAAGCATTGCCCAGGTTTGAAAAGCACAGGGTCCTAGCATATTACGGCCCAGGCCATGGGACTTTTGTTAGAATTTAAGAGAATTCTTCCACATGTCTCTGTCTACTCTGTTTCATATAAACTTCTCAAGTCCTTTTGCCTAACTCACTAATAAAATCTTCAAAATGTAACTCTAAGCACCTAATTGGTAGCATTTTCTACAGTTAAGATGATTGAGGAATATAAAATTAGCTTCCTCAAATAGAGATTTTCTGTTTGATGAAAAGGATCTGTCCAAGGAGAGAATTACCTATCCACTTTCCTCTTTAGATATCACCAACACTGGAAACCAAACTAAGAAGTTATAAAACCAGTGCTTTTTGTGAGCATTTAGAAAATATGATCAAACAGCAAGCTGGTCATGCTCAGATAGGAGTACAAGAAGTGACTATTTATACATTCAAATTTCAAAACATTTGTAAGGCCTACCATGTATGCTATTAAAAGGCTTTTAATTTTAAATTATTTTTGTTAGATAATCCTGTTCAAAGTGACATTATGATTTATTGCCACTAGTCAAGATTCTGATCCCTCATAGACTTCTTGTTTATATCTGTTTTTGTTCTTTGTTACATAAATATGAGATTTATATATAAAATTCTGACTGTGTAATATAGGGCTAATGAGTCACAGATGGAAAGATGCTGGCACATTACCATCTAATAACATTTTAAGCTCATATTCCATAGTAAAACAAAAGCAAATTGTACACATCTGTTTTCCAACTTGTAGTATTTCTGAATTTGGGTAGCGTCTGTTTCAAGGACTTTTACTTTGGGAGAAGAAAAAGAAGACACAGGTCACCTCAAAATTACCCAGAAACTTAATAGCCTTATCAGAAAGGATTTGGCAAAACAGATAAGATTTCCCCTGCTTTGCTTCCTGAGAAGTCCCAGCTCTAAGGAATGAAACACAAAGGCATTAGGGCTGAAGAGATGTCTTCATACCACAGACATAATTTTATTGGTTCTTTTAAAAAGGAAAATATATCCCGAATAAGGGGGAAATAGGGGAGAAAAACATACCACGATTAATAAAATTTAAAAACTAGAAACTTACTCGCCTTCACTAAAAATATCCTCAGAATAGATTTGAGTGGAAGAGGGGAAGGGCAACGAGGAGAGAACGTCTAGGAAGCTTGCAGTCACCTGAGGCCAGGGAAGCTATGGTTGCTGTTTATTTTATTTATATGATAAACATGTTTTGTGTGAAAAAAAAATTGGAATAAAAGGCTCCAGTATCTCATGTTGTTGGAAAAGAAACAGAACAAAGGCGAGAGTTCTCTCTCAGACCTACCCAATTGATAATGCCTGTGAACACGAGTTAGCACAAGTTAGTGAAGTACGAGTGTCTAAAACATCTCTCCCCCGTTCTCCCTGGTTAAGGAATTCAAAAACCACTTTTCTGCTTCAAGGGGTTGTGTGAACTGTCAAGTTCTTTTGGAAAAGTTACGTGACAGAAGCGATTACTGCTGAGTGTGACCATAAATCCCTCTGACATGAAATACGCATGTTATAAGAGACAGATTTGCATCCACCACCTCTGCAGGAATTCCTGAAACAGGAAAGACCTGAGAGTCATCGTATGATTGGAGAGAAAAATTTTGATATGTGGGTGGTAAGACTATCTTTTGTGAGGAGGACTGCATTTATTCTGAGGAATATTTCTGATCAGACTGCAAAATTCTGTTCACCGTTGTCCAAAAAAGAATTAATATGTGTTATGTCCTGAGTTGTAAACAGAATATCAATGGAGGGAAATTACAGTGTTGTTTTCGTAACAGTGTCTGCAGTTATCTCCATATCGTGCTAACATTTTGTATGTAAGATTCCAGAACTGTTAAGAGTGTGTACACAGATCCCAGTGTAACTGCCACAAGGGCAAGTTACAATGAGTTCTCAATCTGGCCTTTCCACTAAAGGAATGTTTTGCTGGGGGGCCTCGTGTGTCTGATTTCCTGTACAGTGTGTCAAACAAGATAAGACTTAGAGCCGGGACAGGGTGGTCTTAGGTACATGCTCGTTTTGTTTGTCTATCAGTGGGATGTCTGTGTGACGTTTTGTGTCGTGTTGTTTTGGTACTGTCCCACGTCCATAGGGTCTACCAGGCTTCCCCACAGTTGCTGCTCTGCACAGTAATCAGATCCTCACCGTCAAGGTTTGTGGCTGACACCCATGCTGCTCAGTCAGAGCCCGCAATCAGCATAAGAGTGAGCAAGAACATCTAAATTGGCTTGCCAAGTCCAGTTGCTCCCTTTCACCATATGCATTGAGGTCTTGGATCCTTGGGGCCTCACCTACATCAACGAGGTGAAATAGCTATTGAGAGGGAGAATCGTGAACATAGAAGAGAGAAGGATATTGAAGTCGAGCAGGGATAATGAAGAGAGGCAGGCATGACCATCTAGGATGGTGCCACACCTCGATGGTTTGATCTGCATGCATGCCAACACTCTGTGACATTTTTCGGTCAATTAAAGAACCCTCAGGACTCTGGACTTCAGGCATTTATAAAATGGCGGTTGCGTTCATGCCACGTTATGCTGGTTGACAAGTCTGACGGAATTGGAACTGGTGCTTTGTTTCCAGACTTTCTGCTCAGTGTGCAGGGTGCGGGTGATGGGAGCGTCCCTGCTTCTTTCATACACTGCATTAAAGAGGCCTAATGCCCACGGCAAAATGATGGGATACACAAAAGACTCCTCTCTAACTACAAATCTGGTCTCGCCATCCCATTTTCAGGTTATGTTTCTTACAATAAGAGAAAGTCTGACGTCAGACACAAGCACCAGTTCCATTTTGTTTAATGATCATTCTAAGTCTAATGTGTATATCTTTATTTCTTTCTTGGGGCCTTCTGATGTCTATTCTCCAACTCTCTCACCTCTGAACTTCAACCTTTGACCTCACCTGACTGATCAGATGGTGTTTCCTAAAATCAATCATGGGTTTCTCTCTGCTGATCAGCAGCTCATTAAACGCCGCCTCATTAAGGTAGTGCTTCTTCTTGCTCAAGTCTGATTTCTTCTTAACATTCAGTTATTACTCCATTTACAGTTGCTTTACCATTTATCTCTCATGGGTGGGGGTATTTATTTGGAACTATCCTGGAGCAAAACTATGTCTAGGGAGCTGCATTTGTTTGAAATGTATATGGAAGTACCAAAGTAAAAAGGCAAGAATGCCTAATTTTTCCTTAATTAAAAAAAAGAAAGACAGCTGAAATTATATCCAGTAATAGATCCAGTTTCTAAGCTCTCTTGCTTTGGTAATTTATCAATTATTACACAGTTTGACAAGAGCTTGTATGTTTAATTTTATAAGTTGTGAAAAAGTAAACACATTTGTCCAACCACAAATGCAGCCATTTTATTAAACAAGATGAATATAACTGATGCAGCAGTGTCATGAATCAAGTTATGCAAAAGTTTTATACCAGCTCTGACTATCATGATAACTTACACACTACTTCCAAAAGCTGAGAGTGCTGGTTCCTGAGCTGCTTTGATTTTAAATAGCATTGACTCAGCTCGCCCAGCATGAATATTTATTTGCTCCCTGCTGGCAGGCAAATTGCCTACAGGCTTCATGTTTCTGATTGTTCTGGTTCTTTTCATAGTGTAAATGTGGATTAGATAATACAAATTTAAAGTGTTGAAAAGAAGACCTGGGTCTTTATCTTTCATGGCCATTGTTGGTCTGTTCCCTTCTCCATTACAGGGTGACCAAGGACAGGCTGGGCCTCCAGGACCCCCAGGCCCCCCTGGCCCAAGAGGGCCTCCAGGGGACACAGGGAAAGATGGCCCCCGTGGAATGCCAGGAGTGCCCGTGAGTTGCATTTTGGATCCATTTGTTTTAAGGGCTGAGAACTGGGATGGAGTGGGGTAAGGAGGGGCCTTAGGGGGTTGCAGGGAAGTGGGGTGAAAGTCCCCAAGCAGAAAGGGCACTGCCAGCAGGATTCTGCTTTACCACTCAATCTCTGGGGAACCCACATGAAACACAAAGAGAGACCCAGAGAAGGCAACTAAACTGGTTTTCAGGTAAGCCTCAAGAAGTCCATGATTGAGCATGCCTGATCTCACTTGTGTCCTGACTACGTTAGAATACATCAGTGCCTTTGGCTTAAATGATGGGAGAATAGCTTGAAAATCTAGGTGAGAGATTGGCAACATTCTCCAAAGGATCAGTGGCAGACAATAAAGTCCCATATGAATTATGGAAAGCAAAGGAGGTAAATCTTCTTAAAGTTTACTCTTTTGTAAATAAATTGACCAAAAAAGAAAAAAATGCTAATAAAACAGTAACATTAATGGTTAAAACATCAGGAGGTCTGGTTTGAATATCATTTGTCCTTTATATGTGAAGTTTATTAATAGAAATGATTTTAAAGCCATCTCAATACTTAGATCTAAGTACTTAGTCACTAAGATTGATCAAGTGTCAGTAATACAGTAGTTACGTGGTTTGATTTGGTAGAGACAACCCAGCAATTGAAAGAAATATATGGAAAAGATAAAAAAAATTTATACTTATATTATGGTCTTAGGACTTGAAATTCAAATTTATTGCTGAATTAATTTATTTATCTATTGCTTTGACTTAAATTATTTTCATGAGTGTTTTCATAGTACAAAAGAATGAAAATAGTTATCCACAAAGTAGAAAGTTTTTAAAACTAAAGAACCAAAAAGAAAAAAAAAATAAGCCATAGTCATTAATGTTTTGGTGTATTTCATTTTTATATTCATATATTTACATATTTTTTTCAAAGAGTGATTCTCTTTGTAAGAATATAGGGTACTTTATGGCTTTTCTGAGACAATCTCTTGGAAGCCCCATTTCTCTTTCTGAAAGTGGCTGTAAATTTGTCATTTGAAGTGAGGGATTGACTCCTAACCTATGACTGGTTGGTTGTTAGGATGGCTTTCACTGAACCATCAAAGGTAGTGGTTTCATCTTGAAACTGTTTTCGAAGGTCTGATATTTTCCTGGAATGATATCCCAAATGATAGAGACAGCACACCTTTAGGGATATTTAAAAGCTCCCCAAATAATTGCTGGTTGCCAAGAAAGATACAATGAGTGTTTCTTCAACTAAGAAGAGTAGTTAAAACCATTTTGGTGGTACAAAATTAGATCATTGGGTATTGTATACTCTACAGGAAATTCAAAGTATAGATTACTTTTAAGAAATAAGATAAAGGTAAGGTATGACAACCTGTAAATAATTGAAAAATTATGTTATCCCCTAAATGAATATAGTTTATTCATCTGAGTAAGAAATGGAGCTTTTACATGGAAGTATGAACAGGGTTTGTTTTTTTTTTAATTTCACAAAGAGAAATTAAACTGTATTTATAGTCTCACAGTTAATTTTTATATACCATCATAACCACTAGAAAAAGGTTTTATAAAAACAAACTGAGAAATACTTATTTTTAAAGTCCAACAATTTCTATAGCTATCAACGTTACAAGAATGGTCTTTCCAAAAGCTATCTGTTGCCAATAACTATCAATATAATAATATGACAATAAAACATAATAAGGAATTTTATATGAATCTGAGTATTAGAAAACTATGATAGTGGTATGATACAGCACAAAATTCTATGTATTTTAACATATGCTATTATTTTTAATAAAACATGTTATTTCAGCCATCATTAATCCAGGGAAACCAAAATTCAAAATCAATCTGCTCATTTTATTATTTAATTCCTGTACTAAGAGCAATTGTCTCTCTGTCCTGTATATGGAAGTTCTGAGTTCTCATAAAGAGGCCTAGGTCATCATCTTTATGTCATCATGAACAGAACATAATAAATGAGATGTTACTAGAATTGCAATTAAATATTTTTCTAGGACTATTTATTGACTTACAATATAATCACCCCTACTAGTTTTATTTAGAATACATTCTTGGCATAATTCTTAAATCTCTGCTGTGATCTAGACTCATTTTATTGAATCCTAAAATGTTTAGAAAATGCATTTGAAGAAAGAACTTGGCTCTCTTTTTATTACATTGTGTTTGCATTTCTCTACTTAGCCTGAAAAGTATATTTGACATTCATGCACCCCGGTGGGTATTGTGAAAGAGAAATAAAAAAGATTGAAATTGCTTTTTAATGTTTACAGCATAAATAAAAATTATCACTATTCTTTTTTAAGGGTGAACCAGGGAAACCAGGAGAACAAGGCTTGATGGCAAGTATCTCAATTTCTTTTTCTATACTAAAAATAATGGAAGTCTAAGTTATTTAAAACTGTGGTCCAGATTGTGGATAAGGAAATAGTGAGAGATTTCAGGTGGGAGGAATGAGAGACAGTGAGGAAGGTCAAAGGATGGAATTTGCTTTATTCAGCTGCTGTAAGGAAGATTTAATTCAGGGATATGCATATTAGCTTAAATAGGAATGAGTCTTCAGTTTTCAAAAGTCACATTCAGAGGAATATGACTAACTGTGAATTAGTGTAGTGAGGCTTCCACAGGGATTCAAGGAGTTTTTGTTGTTGAAGTGTTCCCCCAGAAAGAAACAGTTGTGCCTTCTTGATCCCTGTCATTAAAAAACATCATGAAATGATTCCACATGGACTTGCCCATAGACATGCGTGTCCCATTCGTCATGATTTGTTTATCCTTTGACAGTGAAAGAGAAGTTGGGGCAGCTTGCTGAGCCTTGAAGAGTAGAATTCCTTCAACCTAGCTCTTCCTATCTCTTCCTCCCTATCTCTGGAGCCATGTTCTTGGGAACACGGGTTGACCTTCTAATAACCCAGATTCCAGAAGACAGCTAAGTCTCACACTTGTCCTGGATGTAGTGATCACAATCAACTTGATTGTGTGCCTTATACACAATGTGCAGCTTGCTACTTACAGGTGTTTAGGGTCTAACATGTAGTTTTTAAAAATTAGTTAGCAAGGCCCTAACCCACAAGAATACGGCAGTTGGTCAGGAATTAAAACAAATGTGTGAATGGGTTAAAGGTTAAAGGCTTCTCCCTGAACAGGATGCCTTCAAAAGCCCTCCTGGGAAAAGACTCACCAAGCTGTAGTCCTAGCTGTGGTGGAGTTGGCTTTGAAACATGACTGGTGAAAGGCAAGTACCCTGAAATGGGGTCTGTCCCCTCCACACACACACACACCTGGAAATTCTTTGTTCCCAACCTATGATATCAAGATAGAGAATTGATTCAGATGACTTGAAGGTACTATAATTGATTCTTTTTTAGAAAAATAAAATGAAAGAAAAACAACAAAAAAGATAATGTGTGAAAATTAAACAAAACATATGTCGTCAGTGGTAACTTTGGGTACAAGCGCGGCATTAGTTCTCAGAGTTACAGGGTCACAGGGGGTGAAGGATTCTTAGAAAACTGCAATATAAATTTTGAAACTGCCTTAAGCAACTGAATGCAGCTGTAATTTCTATCCTGGATGATGGTCAAAACATATTTCTCCCAAACATTCTTACATGGAAGGCTACTTGGGATTCTCAGGAGCCCATGTTTGTCCCCAGGTATGCACATTCTCCTCAGATTTTTATCATTGCCATTGGCTTTCTACCTTGATGCCCAATGTAGCAGTCTAAAATATGAAATTCTAAAATAAAGCAGATTTTTAAAAAAATTAAAATCTTATTTTCCTTAGAGTCATACATATACTCTAGAATATACTATGTGAATTACAATTTAATGTCATTTCTCTACAATTCCTAGCTTAATGTCATTAAATGTAAATGTTCCACTGGTCCTAAATGAATTATGTTATCTTAGTTTGCTTTGATTTCCCATTTCGGATAGCAACTTTTCAGGTGAAGATGATCCCAGATGCTTGTTTGTTTGTTTTTTATAAACTTTTCCTTCTCTTTAAACTCTTCTAATTTAGTTCATATTTTCATTTTTAGAATGCAGCTAGGAAACTTAATTGAAATCACAAATGTTCAAAGGATATTTGTAATGTAATGATATTCTTTTTTTTCTTTTTTCCTTTTTTATTGTTATGTTAATCATCATACATTACATCATTAGTTTTTGATGTAGTGTTCCATGATTCATTGTTTGTGCATAACACCCAGTGCTAATGTAATGATATTCTAAAGTGCTGTACTGTTTTTAAAGATATAAAACTCTTTTTTAAAAGAAAACTTCCATAATATATATAAAGAAATGTAAACAAATCACAAGTATACATCTCAGTGACTTTTCACAGTGAGCATAACTATGTAACCACAAACCAGAGCAAGAAATACAATATTAGCATATCCCAGAAACCCCCCTTTCCCCTCCAGTCACCATCCGCCTCTTCCCAAAGTTGACCACCATTCTGACTTCTGCCACCATAAATTAATTCTGCCTGCATTTGAATTTTATTTTAATAGAATCATACAGTATGTACACTTTTGTGTCTGGCTTCTTTTGTTCAGCATTATATTTGTGAGATCATCCACCTCTGTTTTAATAGCCTTCACAGCTGCTTAAAAAAATTAGGAGGAAGAGCCTTACTTCCTTGACTAACCCGTTAAAACTACATCACTCAAATAGCAGTAAATGAATGAAGAGTCTGTCTGACCTTGGGCAAGTCACTTAACCTCTCAATTTCTCATCTATAAAGAAAGGATAATAATACCCTCTCTGCCTCACTTATAAGGTTGCCAAAGACAAATGCAATAAATTAGGGGAGAGCACTTTAAAATACATAACGAAGAACTATATGAGTGTGTTATTATTATTATCACTCAGTTGTTCCCCCTAGAGTAAATTACAGGTGAACACAGATTTATATAACAGATGTATTCCTGTAAAGTTCTATATGAATCAGATTTTCATAAATCAACATATCTTAAATGTTCTGGGGAATTTTGCTATTTAAAGCAATCCCATTCAGAGTCTTTTTGTAAAGCAATATAATCCTCTAATTCCTCTTCCCAGCAAACTGAATTTTTATATCTTATATTTGCTTAAAGTGAAATATTTCTATGGTTTAAAAAACTATCATTCTCAAAAAACCACTAGTTATATTTATTAATTCAAATAACACCTAAATATTTTAACCCATCTCAAAGAAAGAAGAGGATCCTGGAAAAATAATAGCAATTTTCATGGGAGAAAATTTTCATTGGAAATTTTTTTCTTTTAAATAGTGTGTGTGTGTGTGTGTGTGTGTGTGTGTGTGTGTGTGTGTGTGTTTGCATGCTAATTTTGACTCAAAGTCTGGTAGGGAGAAAAGTACATTGCATCAGTAGTTCTGACCTCAAAACTGCTTAGGAGTGTATGACTATAGTCTGTGATCTTTTTTACTGATCTATAACATATAAGCAGTAATTCCTAATTCATCTATCTCATTGGATTATGGTGTGAAGCAAATGAAATAGTAATAATATGAAAATGCTTTGTGAACTACAGAGAGTTCCATAAACCAGAATATTGCTCATAAGATGAATCCCTGCTGACATAACTTAGCATACAGAAAGAATGTAAGGGCTAAGAACAGTGTGATTATAGCTATCAGTTAAATTGCAGCGTATCAACTACTGTGATTGATAGTGCAACTTATTCCTTTGGTCGTATTTGCTGTTGTCTTTTTTTTTTTTTTTTTGGCCTTCTCCGATCATCTTACATTATCAGTTTTTCATAACAATTCTCTTCTCATCCACCAGTGAAAACAAGGAAAGATAATAAAAAGCATGGCTCTCATCTTTTCCACAGTATGCAAAACTCACTACATTTATTGCTTTGTATCGTGGAGGAGTGTTTGCTTATAAAAGGGTCTTGAGGGGCACTGGAGAACTTTTTAAAATGTAAATTGTTTCTGATGATGACATGAAAAAACCTGGGAACATTCTAAAATTAGCTCTTACAAAACTGTTTATGAGTGTGTCAGGTGGGGAATTAGTTTTCATAATCCAGGATATATATTTTATATTGCAAAAAAATCATCTGAAGATTAACAGCATCTCTGATAGAATTAAAAAGAAGGCCTGCAGCTCAAGCAGTTCCACATTTATTTAATCCTGCTGTGCATCTATTCTGTAAACATGACCTTTGGGTTTTTTGAGAAGTTCAGGATGAGATTTTAAAAGATGGAATCTTGAGCTAAAATAAATTGGACTCCATTTAAATAAGAAGAGAGTGGCTCTGAGTCATAAAACTAGACCCAAGAATCAAAGGAAGGACTGACCACCATTGAAGTGCTAAAGTTCTGAACCCTAGCGCAAGTGATCTTTATTTTTCAAGTTCTTCAGAGGTTTAAATAGTTGTTCAAATACCATTTTTGAAATTAGCTTTTCTTTTGATAGTCTTACTATTTCTTTCATTGGCAAATACAGGAGTTCTCAGAAACGTAAAGGATAGATGTTTTATAAATATCTTATTAATATGCCAATTCATCCCAATTTCCTGGAGATTATTCTGTGGCCCAAAGTGTCTACATCCAAGGCTTTATAGACCAAATCACTTTCTCTACTCTGAAACCCTATCTTCATCCCTCATTCTCCTCCCAAATATATGCAAACTCCATAGCATATCCATTCATCTCTTTCTGAATTATAAGAGTATTTCAAATGTCATTCATTGGGCTCTGGTGGTGTCAGAGTTTTTTTTCAAAACTCAGAAAAACTTTTGCTCTTATTGTTCCTTATGGTGAAATTTGGACTTGTGTCTGAACATGTTATAGATATTTTCAGTTTATTTTAATTTTGCCTGCAAACACATTTAATACATTAGGGTCAAGTGAATATAATGCATTTATGCTAGCTAATAACATAAGCATAAATAATTACTTCTGCTTTATTTAAAATAAAATTGAAATAACCAATATGTGAAGGTTCACTTTAAATATATTTAGTTATAATGTATTACTCTCCCACATCTAAAGGTCATTTTACTTAATTGTACTTTGCTCTGCCAACTATCTTGGTCAGCAGAATGGCAGACAAGGGAGACAACAGTAGGCTTCTCTGTGATTTTAATTTAGCGAAGAAAGCAACACCCCAAACCTTCAAATCACAAATAACAAAAATGACCAAAATCATCCTAGGATATTTAGCTATTAGACTAGATTTTAACAATGGAATCTTGTTGAGTAAAACTGTGTTTACTTCAGTTGTGCACATTGCCTGCTGAGATGCCTTAGCAACCGTTCTAATGCTTTATTATCCTCACCTAATCTGATTGTCCGTGAAGTACAAGTAAAGGCCACAAGAACA